CTCCCTCCATGAAGCACACCTGCATTGAATGCCCTTATCCCATGGAACACAGCTCCCTAACTCCATGGAGATACTCTCCCTCCATGAAGCACACCCCCATCCTACGCCCTTTCACCATGGAACACAGCCCCCCTAATTGTGTGGCCCTGGTTACTCTGTTCACTATGCTCCTTTTCCTCTTATCTCCTATGCTTTCCACCAACCCACTAGAAAAGGATACTGTGTCATTAGGGACACCCACTTCCCTTCCCACTGCACCTCTCCCTGATGTGATCCCAGAAGTTCTCATGATGTGGACTGTTTCTGTCACTGAGAAGGAGACAGAGACTGGAGAGTGTGACCCTCATGTGCCCACTGGTGAAGTCCTGACCACCCCTTCTGTCCTCATTCAAGGTTATGGTCTTATCCCAGGTTCAGACTCTTATGTGAGACCAGGCAATACAGGGAGAGTAGAGAAAGTGACCCATGAGAGAGGTCCCTGAAGATAAGGAGGGCCTGGAGGTGATGGGGGCCCTAGGGTAGTAGGGGCCTTGGGTTTAATAGTGACCTGGAGATGATGAGGTCCTGGGGGTATTGAGAATTCCTGGGTAATGGGGATCTTGGAGTTAATGGGATTGGGTGGTGATAGAGATCTTGGAGGTGAAAGGATCCTGGGAGTGATAAAGTCCTGGAGGTGGTGAGGTCCTGGAGGCAATGGAAGTCCATGGAGGTGATGGAGTCCTGGAGGTGATGAGTTCTTGGAGGTGATGGGATCTTGTGGGTGATGGAGGTCGTGGGACTGATGAGGTCCTGGAGGTTATGAGAGTCCTGAGGTCTTGGGAGTTGCAGTGTTAGCTTAAAGTTGGCTTTTTTTTTAAAGCTATTACCTTAGCACCGTCTGTTCTCCAGCTGCCTTAACTGTAGATACATGCTCTTCCAAATCATCAACACCTGTGGGACTAGGATAAGAGAGTATGCTTCCCACACAGGGCAGAAGGACTTGAAGGAGACTGGTGCAAGAGCCTGGGGAGAGCAAGACCCTGGTGATGCTAATAGAGAGACTGTGGCATTGCTGTGGAGAAACTGTGGCAAGGTGTAACCAGAGGAACCCTGAGATAAAGGCCACAGTTAAAAGTTTTACTGTGCTTACTAGATAATTAAGGAGAAGCTGACTTGCAACTGCTCTGAGGCAAACCTTGCTGGATGACTGAGGAAACCAGAGGCTTCTTTAATTTGGACTGCTGAACTGAAACCAGAGCCTGGACTAATTGAAAAATTGTGTCATAGGACTGCTGGGCTAAATTCTGGATTTGCATTGTGTGACATTCTTTGCCCCTTCCACTCTCCAACTTCTTTAATAAACTCCATTCTCAGCATCACAACTGTGATCCCGTGACCCAGCAATGAATAAACGAACCTGCCACTGCTCGCTGAAACTGAGGAGGACCTCATGCACTTACTGCAGAGGGTCAAGGACTGCAGCCTTCAGTATGGACTGAGGCTCAGTGTCAAGAAGACAAAGATTCTCACCACTGGACCAATTGGCAGCATCAGGATGAATGGTGAAGAGATTGAGATTGTTCACAGCTTCAGTTTGCTCGGCTCCACAGTCAACACTCTTGGCACCAGCAGTCAGGAAATCAAAAAGCATATCGTGATGGGAAAGTCTGCTATTAGGGACCTCTCTAAAGTACTCAGGAGCAACGGTGTCTCTCTGGAAACTAAGGTGCACCTGATACACGCCATGGTCTTTGCAATCGCTTGTTATGCATCAGAGAGTTGGACAATGACTAGGGAGGATAGAAGGAGAATTGACGCCTTTGAGCTGTGGTGTTGGAGAAGAGTATTGAATGTACCATGGACTGCCAAGAAAACGAACAGATTTATTCTAGAGAGGGTTAAACCAGGCTGCTCCTTGGAGGCAAGGATTCTGGGGCTTCGTCTGACATACTTTGGACATGTTGTAAGGAGAGACAGGTCTTTGGAGAGGGACATCATGCTGGGTAGAGTAGAGGGACAGCACAGGAGGGGAAGACCCTCTATGAGGTGGATTGATTCAGTGACTGGCGTAATCTGGATGGGTGTGTCAGAGGCAATGAGATTGACACAGGATAGAGCACAGTTTAGGGCTGTTGTGCATAGGGTCGCTATGAGTCGCAAATGACTCGACGACACATAACAACAACAACAACAACAACAACAACAACAACAACCACTGCTGCTGTGGCTCTAGAGGCACCATGGGGCTGGCTGTGGGCTCTGTATCTGCTTTCTGCTCTGGAGTGGTGAGGGGCTGTGCTATTCTCACTCTCTCTGGCCCATTCAGAGAGATATTCTTGGCCCTGTGCCCCTATGTCTCATTTTCTGTTCTCCAGACAGGGGCCCTGGAGGTTATGGAGTCCTGGGAATGATAGGATCCTGCGGGTTATGGAAGTCTTGAGGGTCCTATAAGTGATAGGGGTTCTGGAGCTGATGTGGTCCTGGAGGTAATAGGAGTCTTGGAAATGACAGAAGTCTTGGGGGTGATGGTGATCCTGGAGGTGATTTCTAGAGGTATTGGGGGTCCTGTGAGTGATGGTGGTCCTGGAGGTGATAGGGATCTTGGAGGTGATGGGGGTCTTGTGGGTGATGTCCCAGAGGTGATGGGGCCTTTTGGGGTGATGGAAGCTTATGACGTCCTGGGAGTGATGGGGTCCTGGAGGTGATGAGAGTCCTCTGGGTGATGTGGTCTTGAGGTGATGGGGCCTTGGAAGTGATAGAGATCCTGGGGCTGATGGGGGTACTGAGAGTAATGGGGCCCTGGGGGTAACAGAGTCCTGTGGGTCATGGGGTCCTGGAGTTGTTGAGGTCTTGGGGTGATGGGGTCCTGGAAGTGATAGGGTCCTGGAGGTGATGTGGTCTTGGGATAATGGGGGGTCTTGTGGGTGATGGTATCCTGGAGGTGACAGGGTCCTGGAGGTCATGGGATCCTGGTGGTGATAGGGGTCCTGGTAATGTTGAGGTTCCAGAGGTATTGGGGTCCAGGGAGTGATGGGGTTGTGGAGGTGACGGGGTCTTGAGGGTGATGTGATCCTGAAGGTGATGTGGTCCTGGAAGTGAGGGAGGCTCTGGAGATGATGAAGTCCTGAAGTGATGGGGTCCTGGAGGTGATGTGGTCTTGGGGGGAAAGGGGTCCTGGAGGTGAGGGGGTCCCAGTGAAGGTGATGGGTCGTGGAGATGATGAGGTCGTGGAGGTGATGGGGTCCCAGTGATGATGGGGTCCTGAAGGTGAGGGAGTTCTGGAGATGATAGGGTCCTGGGGTGATGGGGTCTTAGGGGTGATGGAGTCTTGGGAGTGATGAGGTCCTGGAGGTGATGGAGATTCTGGGACTGACAAGGGTTCTGAGGGTGAGGAGGTCCCAACAGTGAAGGACTCCTGTGGGTGATGGTATCCTGGAGGTAATGGAGTCCCAGAGGTGATGGGGCCTGGGTGAGCCTAGGGTAGTGGAGTGCCTGGAGATGATGTGGAAGGCGCCTTCTGCTAGGACTCTGGGGAAGGCAGTGGCTGCCGGCTGGGCTGCTCCGTGGCCGCAGGGCGGGCGGGGGTGGGGTGCAGGGGAGGGGGATGGCGCTCTGCTCGCACGCGAGGCTCTGGCTAGGGGCCAGGCGGCTGTCACAGCGGGCGCTGAGGGCTGGATCGCGTGACAAGGAGCCTGGCCTCAGCCACAGGAATGTCCCGCTAAGGAGGGAAGTGGAGGCGGGTTCCTGGCCTGGTGGGGGTGGGCAGCACTGTGCTAGGAAGGTCCCTCCCCGCCAGAGAAACATGTTGGGGGAAGGGGTGAAGTGAAAAGGGGCCAGAGGAGTGGGAGCAGATCCCCCTCCCTGCCTCGGAGAATCCAGCAGTGGGGAGGGCAGGGCCCCCCAGTCCCTGTACCCCAGCATGTGGGAAGTTAGGGATACCAAGTTTTTCAAGATACCCAAGTCAGGGGTGATGTCTGAGCCTGTGAATCCTCCACCCCAGGAACAGCCGTGACCTTCAAGGAGAGCAGTGGCCTGGGTGGGCGCCCCAGGTCCTGACCCCAGCACCTCCATTTACGCAGCCAGTGTGGGAGAATGACCCACAGAAATAGTATGCCTGGGGTCCCTCTGTAGGGACAGAGCTCCTGCTTGGGGGAATGTGGGGCTGTGAGCAACCTGTTAAGAACTGGTTTAATGATGTGAGACAGGGCCCTGCCCCCATACCTCACCTCCTGGGAGCCCCAGTCGGCCTGGCATTGCTCTCTGCACTGCCCACTGTTCAGCACCGGGGAATAAGGCTGCTTCCTTCCAGCGGATCCCATCCACTGGGGCGTCTGACTGTGCTCCTTGCACATGAGGGGATGACAGCAGGAAGGGTGCCAGCAGACTTCACAGGGGGCACTGGGGGGATGCACACAAGCAGACTTCACAGGGACCAGGGGAAGAACAAAGGTGGACTTCAGGGGGACCACAGGGCGCAGGCAGGCGGATTTCAGGGGGACTCTGGGGTAGACAGGTGGACTTCAGGGGGACTCTGGGGTAGACAGGTGGACTTCATGGGGACCACGTGCAGTTCTGGTTTCAGGTGACACCCTCTGTTCTCCCCGACAGCCGTGCAGGAGTCCTGCTTGAGGCAGCCGGTAGCCAGGGATCACTGCTCAGGAGCTGCTCGTACATGTGGCGAGTCAGAGGTGCTGGAGGGCAGGCTGCTCCTGGAGGTGAGTGCTCGCTGTCTGACTCAGAGTCTTTGGCAGTGGCCATTCCTAGAGACAACAGAAATATCTCTGAAGCGTTCTGGATGGAGCGCTTGACCATTCCAGAGACCAGGCAGTGGGGGTCACTCTTGGTAAAGGAACAGCCTCCTGCCCCAGGACATGCCTTCCTCACCACCAAGAACTCCCCTCAGAACACTCCCCTTCAGACCAATGACACCCTCCAGAACACCCCTTCCTCAGACCAAGGACACCTGCCGAAAGAGCCCACCTCATACCCAAGGGCATGCCCAGAACACCCTCTCCTCAGATCAAGGGTGCCCCCAGAACACCCCTCCTTACAACGAAGGACATCCTTCCTCATAACCTAGAATACCTCCTAAAACACCCCTCCTCATAGCCAAGGACACCTTCTCAGGACACCCTCCCCTCATAGCCAAGAACATTCTCCAGAACAGCCCTCCTCATCGCCAAAGATGCTCTCCAAAACACCTCTCATAACCGAGAACATCTTCCAGAACAGCCTTCCTCATATCCAAGGACACCCTCCAAAACACCTCCTTTTCATAACCAAAGATAATTCCAAGACACCCGCTCTTCATAACCAAGGATACCCAGAACATCCTCTCCTCACAACCAAGGACTCCCCTGCACCAGAATACCCCCTCCAAGCATGCCACTCAAACACTTCCTCTTCACAACCAAGACACCCTCAGAACACCCCTCCTCAGACCAAGGACACACCCCAGAACACCCCTTCCTTATAACCAAGGACATCTCTCAAGAACATCCCTTCCTCACAATCAGAATGTCCCCTCTAAGCATCCCCCCTCAAAACTAAGGATGCACCCTAGAACATCTCCTTATATCAGCCAAGGCCACCCTCACCAGAACACCCTCCTCAGACAAGGATGCCCTCAGGGCAACCAGCAGGTTCTCAGGCTAGGTGGGTGACCCTCCCTCATAGTGGGACATCCCCAGGTTCCTTCTCTAAGGTAGAGGACCTCCTCAGGACCCTTCCATACATGTACATTGATAAGTGAAGTTCACTCTACACCAGCAACAGGAAGAATCTGAGAAAGTAGGGTTTTATTTATAAATGAGAGCTGTTCCACTGAAGTGGCCTTGGCATTGACATGTGGTGGCAGGCAACACCATGGGATCAGAAGGGGCCCCTCACTTCTGAGGGTCTGAGTCTTCTTCATGTGGAAGGAACCTCCACTTTCTCTCCAACGTAATGAGCCTGAAGTCCTCAATCTAAGGGTCAGAAAAGGAGGAAGATCCCGGGAGTTCCGGGTGTCGTTTTCAGAAGGATGGTGCTCCAAGTTCTCTGGGTTGAGTTTACAGAGGACAGTCCGGCAAGTACTCAGGCTGGATTTTCATAGGTCAATGTACAGAAGGTTCTCAGGCTGGGTTTTCAGGGAAGGATGTTGCTCCAGGAAGTTTATGGGGCTGAGTTTTCATAGAAGGATGATTCTCAGGTTGTATTTTCAGAGACAGACGATGTCCCAGGAGGTTCTCAAGGCCGAGTTTTCAGTGTAATGGTGCTCCAGAAGGTTCTTATGCTGAGTTTTAGAGAAGGATGATACTCCAGAGAGTTCTCAGGCTGAGTTTACAGGAAAGGGTGGTGCTCCAGGAGGTTCTCAGAGCTAAGTTTTGGTTTGGGGGCTTTTTAAATAAAATTTTTCTTTTATACTAGTTTACTCACAAATTTCGTATACATTGTTTTCACACTGGAGCTTTCCTATTTCCTTTACTCACCCTTCTCTCCACTCATTAAATTGTGCAATCCTATGATTAACCTCCCACCCCCACCCCATCCTCACCTCTCTGCTCCCACCCTCCACCCTTGGATCCTTATATACATTCTTCAACAATGGTCTTATGGGATTGAGTTCGTTCACTTAGCAGAATGCTTGGAACTGAGTTTTAAGAGAAGGATGGTGCTCCACGAGGTTCTCGGGTTGAGTCTTCAGAGAGAAAAACTGGTGCTCCAGGCGATTTCGGGGGCTGAGTGTTCAGAGGATGATTGCTCCAGGAGATTCTCAGGCTAAGCTTTCAGATGGGGATGGTGTTCCAGGAGGTTCTCGGGGCTGTTTTCAGAGGACAATGCTACAGGACATTCTCAGGGCTGTTTTCAGACTATGATGCTACAGGACGTTCTCAGAGTTGAGTTTTCAAAGACATTCCAGGCAGTACTCAAGGCTGCGTTTGAGAGGTTGACAGTGCACCAGCAGGTTCCCAGGCCGGGTTTTCACGGAAGGACGGGGCTCCAGCAGGTTCTCGGGCCGGGTTTTCACGGAAGGACGAGGCTCCAGCAGGTTCTCAGGCCGGGTTTTCACGGAAGGACGGGGCTCCAGCAGGTTCTCAGGCCGGGTTTTCACAGGAGGACGGGGCTCCAGCAGGTTCTCAGGCCGGGTTTTCACAGAAGGACGAGGCTCCAGCAGGTTCTCAGGCCAGATTTTCACAGGAGGATGGGGCTCCAGCAGGTTCCCAGGCCGGGTTTTCACGGAAACACGGGGCTCCAGCAGGTTCCCAGGCTGGGTTTTCAGGATAATTCTCCAGTTTTGCAGGCTGAGTTTTCAGGTTGTGCTCTGGGGTCTTCGGGCTGAGTTTTTAGAGGACGATGCGCTAGGAGATCCTGTGTTGAGTTTCCAGATAAGAATGGTGTTCCTGGAGGTTCTCAGACAGGGTTGTCGGGGTGATCCAAAGGGTTTTCAAGGCTGCGTTGTCAGAGGACAATGCTCCAGGAATTTCTTGAGGTTGATTTTTTCCAGGTGACAGTGCTCCGTGAGATGGTTGCATTGAGTTTCCCAAGAAGGATGGTGCTCTGGGGGGTTATCCAGCTTCATTTTCAGAGACTGATGCTCCAGAATGTTCTTCCACTGAGTTTTCAGAGAAGGACAGTGCTCCAGGAGGTTCTCAGGCTGAATTTTCAGAATGGGACGATGTTCCAGGAGGTTCTCAGGCTGCGTTTCCAGAGCAGGACAGTGCTCCAGGGAGATCTTCAGCTGTGTTTTCAGAGAAGGGTGGTGCTTACAAGGCTTCTCGAGGCAGAGTTTTCACAGAGCATGCTGCTCCGGGAAGTCCTATCGCTGGATTTTCAGAGGGTGGTGTTCCAGGAGGTTGTCTGGCTGAGTTTTCAGGGGATGAAGATCCAGGATGTTCTCATGTTGAGTTTTCAGAGAATGATGGTGCTCCA